AAGTAAAAATTAATATAAATTCATAATAACTTTAAAATAAAAATAAATTTAAATATTAACATTAATTATAAAAAATATTACCATGTCGCTAAAATGTCTGGAGATATGATCAATATCCAATCGCAACAGCATTTCGTTTTCCATTATAACTGTAGACAAAACAATATAATTAGCAAAAAAATTAATAATTCTAAATAAATAATAATTATATAAATATTATTTTAATAAAAAAATAATATTTACATAAATATATTAATATAAAAAATAATAACTATTTAAAAAAATACTAACATAAAAATAAATTTCTTACCACTAATAACAAATTTAAAACTCAAATAGTTGGAGAATTTGAGTTATATAAGAGAGGAGAAGATGATTTTGGTGTGAAGAATAAGTGAGGGTTGAGGGGGTTTATATAGGGGAGGAGGAGGGGTAGTTAGGAAAAACGGATGGGGGCATTTATGACATTTAATGGAAGGCGCGTCCCCGGGGATGCGCCTTCCACACGTGTCTGCTGATATGGCAAAGGCGCGTCCCCGGGGACGCGCCTTTCACACGTGGCATCCAACTCAGCGAAAACACGGGTAAAGCGCGTCCCCGGGGACGCGCCTTTGCCAACTCAGCAGAAAGGGTGCTAGTTTTGGAAATATTGGTCGAACGGTGTTAGAAAAGTAAAAATAAAAATAAACGGTGTCAGTGGGGTAAAAAAGCCCAAAAATCAAGCAAATATTGGAACTTGATATCAATTCCAGTGCATTTTAATGAAGGTAAGAATCAAATCCAACATCTTAGAGCTTCTTTTTAAGACCCCAAAGTCAACCATGATAACGATGATATATCATAAAAACAATTTTTTTTTTAAATCTGATTTTTTAAATGATTTTTACAAATTTATAGCAATTATCACAATCAGATTCACCAATAATATGTGAAATTATATATATAAATATATCAAATATTAGTATATATTATCTTCCGTTCGTCCTCCTTTTGCACCTGTAATAACCCAGGATGCAAAAATCATTTGTTTTTGTTTTAATTCCTTGGTTTATGATAAGGAAATTAATTCAAACAATCATATAATTAATCACTTGCAAAATCGTGTATGCTAAAATTATGGATATGGGGTTTTAGCACAAAAATAGACCTCAAATTTTTATACTATAAATGAAAAGATCCATTTATTCAAAAATATCTTTTGGTTTTATTTTAGTTTGACATTTTTTCCAAATAATATACAGTAATAATAAGGTAATATTAAAATATGTTTAGAATATCTCTTGATTATTAATAATATATATACATTCTGCAGATATAACTATTCGAATTTTAATTTTTTTAAAAATAATATTTATTTTAACTATTGAAATAAATTAATGAATTTATTATCCCAAAACACTGTAATATATCTTACATATAAATACGTTATTTATGCATAAAACTTAGTCAAAGTCTTAATCCAATTCATTAGCATATATCTTTTTTTAAAATTCATTAGCATCAAGGAAGGTCTCCATGTTAATCGAGTCCAGAACAGATTATGCCTTGCTGTTAAAAAAGAAGCGCGTTGAGAATATATTAAATAGATGTTAATGCGGCACCGTTTTCACTTGCCAGCCAATTCCCGTGTCCGTCGGCAATCACGTGACGTATTTACCCCCTCGAATAGATATCCCCACTCCTCTGATTTTTCATATCGTCGTGGAAGCAAAACGCCTTGGTCTTCTTTCTCTCTGAATTCCTTGGTCTCTATTTAAAAAATCGACTTTTTGAGGTAAATTTAATGCAAAATTATTCCATTTTATTGTCTTTAGATATATTATCTTTCTTGATTTGATCAGCTTCACTTCCTAGGTAGTGTGTTTTTAGTTGACAGTGCTTTGATTGTTAACTGGCTTAAAGTTTGACTCGTTTTCAGAGGTGGTTCTTGATCTGAGTCTCTATTTGACCAGATTCAAAATAGCTTTCTCTTTTTTTCCCATGAAGTGAAGTAAATAGTTTCAAATTTCGTAAAGCTTGGTTTGACCAAACAGATATGTCTTCTAGTTCTGGCTCTTGGTTGATCTGTGAAGTATGTAAACATTTTGCTCAATAAACTTGAATGAGAACTTTGAATACAATCTGATTTTTACGGATCTGGATTCAATTGTATTGATTTCATTACTTTCTATTTAAATTTTCTGGATCTATTATTTTACTGATATGTTAGTTCAAATGTAAGTAGAGATGGCCGTCGGTGATTCGATTCCTTGGTCAGATCTGATGGTATATTCTTCTCTGGTCATTGTTTTATAGAATATGATTTTAGTATTAGTTCAACTTTTGTATTGTATAGGAGCTATGTCGCTCATTTCCTTATAAGGTTCATAGATGCATACTAGTATCCGACACTTACCTCGAGCCCATGTAACATAGTTTAGATATGCACTCGAAAAAGTGATGATCAGATGTTGAAATACAACTTGAAAAGGTGATGATCAGATGTTGAAATACAACTTGTCCTATGGCTCTTATTGTTTTCAAGATGAAATGAGTTTTTAAGTTTCTTCTAAGTTTTTGAGTTGGGTGGATCCAGGAATGGTTTTCGCCATTATGTTATTTGAATAGTTGTTTCTCATTTTTTATGTTGTAGTACACAAAGAAAATGAGGATTTGTTGCATTGGAGCTGGTTATGTTGGTGGGCCTACAATGGCCGTGATCGCACTTAAATGTCCGGATATTGAAGTGGCTGTTGTTGATATCTCTGTGCCTCGGATTGCTGCCTGGAACAGTGACCAGCTCCCTATCTATGAGCCTGGTCTTGATGACGTTGTGAAACAATGTCGTGGCAAGAACCTTTTCTTCAGCACTGATGTAGAAAAACATGTGCGTGAGGCTGATATTGTCTTTGTTTCTGTCAACACTCCCACCAAGACTCGGGGCCTTGGAGCTGGCAAAGCTGCAGACCTTACTTATTGGGAAAGCGCTGCCCGTATGATTGCGGAGGTATCAAAATCTGACAAGATTGTCGTTGAGAAATCGACAGTCCCTGTCAAAACTGCAGAGGCAATTGAAAAGATTCTTACCCACAACAGCAAGGGAATCAAATTCCAAATCCTTTCTAACCCAGAATTTCTTGCTGAAGGAACAGCAATTCAAGATCTTTTCAATCCTGATCGTGTTCTTATTGGAGGGCGTGAAACCCCAGAAGGCAATAAGGCTATCCAAGCATTGAAGGCTGTTTATGCTCATTGGGTCCCTGAGGAGAGAATTCTTACTGCCAATCTTTGGTCTGCAGAGCTTTCCAAGCTTGCTGCCAATGCTTTCTTGGCTCAGAGGATCTCATCCGTAAATGCCATGTCTGCTCTTTGTGAGGCAACTGGGGCAGATGTTACACAGGTATCCTATGCTGTTGGTAAGGACACGAGGATTGGACCCAAATTTTTGAATGCTAGTGTCGGTTTCGGTGGATCCTGCTTCCAGAAGGATATTCTAAATCTGGTTTACATCTGTGAGTGCAATGGCCTTCCTGAGGTGGCTGAGTACTGGAAGCAAGTCATTAAAATCAATGACTATCAGAAAAACCGATTTGTTAACCGTGTTGTAGCCTCGATGTTCAACACTGTTTCTAACAAGAAGATTGCTATTCTAGGGTTTGCCTTTAAGAAGGATACTGGTGATACTAGGGAGACCCCTGCCATTGATGTATGCAAAGGACTTTTGGGAGACAAAGCTCGGTTGAGCATATATGATCCGCAGGTCACCGAGGACCAGGTCCAACGAGATCTTTCCATGAAGAAGTTTGACTGGGACCATCCTCTCCACTTGCAACCCATGAGCCCCACAACTGTTAAGCAGGTCAGCTGTGTCTGGGATGCTTATGAGGCAACCAAGGATGCTCATGGTATTTGCATTCTGACAGAGTGGGATGAATTTAAGCAACTCGACTTCAAGAGGATATACGACAACATGCAGAAGCCGGCTTTTGTTTTCGATGGAAGGAACATCGTGAACATGGAACAGCTGAGGGAGATCGGTTTCATCGTTTACTCGATCGGTAAGCCACTGGATGCATGGCTCAAGGACATGCCTGCTGTAGCATAAGTGCCATGCACAGGTTGAATGCTTATGATGGATACAAGCGATTACATTTCGAGTTCGATTCTTTCCAGTTGAATTTTTAGATGACGAGTTGTGTTGTACCTTGTTTCCTCCATAGTAAGTCAAGCATAATTGGAATTTTACAATCATGACGAAGATAAAAGAAAGGCTATGTGTTGTGCCTTCAATTGTTGTTTGTTAGGGAACATACGTTCTTGCTCGATTTGAACTTCTTCCATTTGTAGATCGTTGAAATTTCATACCTCTTTGATGGAATACTTCAATTCTTGGTATTATTCATTGTTTTCTTTCAATTATGTCGAGGGATCAATTAAAATTATATAAGATTGACTGATAATATTAATAACGTGATTTATTATCCTTAATTACTTGTTAAGGGAATTAGCAGTAACTAAATTATTTCCTCTTTTTGAGAGTTCAATTTATCAATTTTGAAGGGATCCTTTGCAGACATGTGATCGCTGTGTTCAAAGCAACAAACATCTTCCTGCTTCTTCGACATTATATTCTAAAGCCATGGACTAAAAATGCGGAAGAGGCCAAGTTCGATGCATTACCATCCGTTGAGACCCATGGTGATTATCGGATGCGGTACAATCTTTTTCTACAGGAAGCCGTACAATGTGCAGAAGAGGGGATGACATCTGATCACAGTTTCGAGGTAGCGTTAAACGACTTGAGGGAGGCTAGAATTAAAATTGTTAGTGCCAAGAAGAATGTCATCAATGTTCAGAAGCTCGACACTGGTACCGACTATGAGGACGATAAAACTTCATAGATAGTTAGTCGGAATGGATGATTCGATCATCTGTATTTCTATATAAACCAACACAGCCCTTGCCATCAAATGAAGATGCAGCAGTAAATAATTGTCGGTTGCCTTAACATCTTTCATACATGTTTGTTGTATGATTAATATATCATATTGCTTGATCTCTTCTTCATTCTTGATTTATTGATTTGATCTAATAATATAATAATTACAAAGCAGCCCAGTTGGCTTTTCTTGTTTTTCTCTTCAAAGCTTGGATTTTTCAGCCAACAAAAACCAACCCAGATCAATTCTGAAATCAAGTAAGATAACCCATTAAACTTTTACACTGCTTTTAAGTATTTGTTCGTTTTTGGAGTGATAAAGTTTTGGAATTTGACTGGCTTGGTTCTCTTAACTCTGAGATTTGTTCTTCTTTAACTATTGGTGGATGCTTTACTTATTTTGAGATTTTGATGTGTGTTTATGTCTTGAACTGTTATTCAAATCTCTCTTGAAGTTGATACCTTTTACAGTTTCCCTGCATATCTGTTTCTAACTTGACTCTGAGTCAAGTAATTCAATCTTTCTTTTTTATGGTATTCGCAGTTTGGGAATTGAAAGAAGATTCGGATTCCGAACAGGTTGAATTCCACCTTTTGATGTCTTTACAGCATTCAAGGTTGAGGTTTCTGTTTACAGAAAGGTAGAAGGGTACAAGTAAAGATCTTGGGGGTGTTGGGATTTTTCAAGTTTCAAGGTTTATGGAGATGGCTGGTGTTCAAGATCAGTTAGAGGTCAAATTTAGATTGACTGATGGGTCAGATATTGGTCCTAAAACCTTCCCTGCTGCTACCAGTATTGCAACCTTGAAAGAAAGCGTTCTTGCACAATGGCCTAAAGGTTAGTTGTTTTTTTTTTATTTTTTGAAAACGTTGGACTAAATCCAAAATGTCTTTTGGTTACTGTTCCATTCTTCCATATGGCTCTTGAACTAGAAAGGTGGGATCTTGCTATTTGTTTGTATTGCTGGTTGAATGTTCAGATAATAGAAACTATGTGAGAAAATATTATCTTATGATTTGCTTCCTTCAGAATCAGGACAGAAATCCGTTGCAGAGAAACTGGAATGTGTTCTTTGATCAGTAAAATGCATTTGCTATGATGATTACTTACTGCTGTATGAAATGCCTAACCATGAAAATATTTCCTAGGGAACCGAAATTACGTGTTACCGAATATGAACAAGGAATGTTTCGGGCCTTTCCCGGGTATACAATGAACAGCAAGGTCAATTTTTTTTACGAGTGTCTGCATGTCACTGAAGACCTCTCTTTCTTGTAGCTAAAACCAACACGTTGTACTGGTTTTTAGTTTGCTTCATTGCATCATTGGTGTTTCTGTTCGAAATGTTTGTCCATGTTGGATTCCGGGTTTTCATGCTTTTTCGAGGGATGAACATTTGATTCGAGGCACTTTTGCTGTTACAGTTCATAATTGAATTGCAAGCCGAGTGTGTAATTTCACTTGTTTAATTTTGTGCAGAGAAGGAGAATGGTCCAAGGACAGTGAAAGATGTTAAGTTAATTAGTGCTGGAAAAATATTAGAGAACAGAAAAACACTGGGGGAGTGCCAAAGTCCTCTCTGCGATATTCCCGGTGGGTTGACGACGATGCATGTTGTCGTTCAACCTCCGACGGAGAAAGGTACAATTTATTATCTCTGAGGTTCCAATCTGAACTTTTTCATATGCAGTTTTGAATTTACCTTTTTTCTTTAGGAATTTTAATCCATGCATTTACTACTTGTATCTTTCTTTACCAAGCAGAGAAGAAGGCAACAAATCACGCACAGCAAAACAAATGTGTTTGTGCCATATTATAATCCACAGTTCGCCGAGGGGATGACATCATTTTCAGGTGGTTTCCCTAGACTGTTTATTTGTCAGCTAACACAACCCTTGGTTTTTAAACTTAAACTCCATCTAAAAGTTGTCTGCAGATGAGGAGTCCTTGAGCTGGCATAGAAAATCAAGTTGGGGACTTCTCCGATTGATGAAGGCGGTCTGCATCTTGCAGATTTTTCATATAGGTCGGATTTTTTGCTTCTGTTTTACGCCTTATTTGTTAAGCCGATCACCATCCGTTCACTTTTTCATGTTTCAAGTTATTGAACCGCAGATTGTGTCCCATTTTGTCATACCAAATGCATTGTGTGTTTCCAATTCGTCTTTTGTACGATATCATCTTTGATCCAGTAATTGAACTCATGTTGGTTGTCATACTTTTACCGATGATATAGATTCATGTCTCATAGTTTGTTACAGTTTCATAGATTGTTTTCGTTATTTGAATTAAACAGTATATGATCCTTCAAGCAATAAGGATTCTAAAAATACGAAAAAACTGAGCATACTCGTCTCGACATACTCGACTCGTATTTAGGTAACATAGTATATGATCCTGCAAATGATTTTTAATCACAGGATGCTCACCCAGTCTTGGACTAACAGTCATATGCAGAAAAATCATATATTTGTAAGCATGTATCTAATAACAAACACACTTTAACTGTCCAAGCATACAAGTAGTAAGTTTTCTCAATGACTTACACAACTATTTCAACTGTATATATAAGAACACTTCCTGATGCATCCGGGAACCTCGGTTGCCATCTGATGAGAATTCCTGATACACGAATAAAAAAAAAACAAGCACACACCAGATAAAAGTAGATATTGAGAAGCTTTGCGGAAGAAACTGTCGTAAAATCCGGGCATTGAGAAGTCATCAAATTGGAGAAGCATCGTGCTATACGTGCAAACTTATATTCACAATGCTTGCCGAACTAGAAATCAAAACTCTCTCAAGTTATGATCTCTTTGACAAGCCACTCTAAACTCGGGTATGCAAAGTACAAAATGAGAAATGAAGGGAGAGCAAATATTACGGTAATAAGTATGTACAGGGCCAAGATGGCGGCACTGGCGGGAATCACGTAAAGGATGATTAAGAGAAATATGATGACTAAAGGGAACTTGGCTACCAGATGCATGAAGATAACCAGAGACTTACGAAGGTAAGAATATATTCTTTCCGAATTGAAGTAATCAGCGAGATTATTATGAGTGTGGTTTGATCTTGATGGCTCACAATGATGCATATACTGTCCCCTTCTGTAGTTACTCTGAGTCACTTGGTTCCGCGATGCTGAATTATCGTTCAATGAACAGCCAAGCTGATGATCTTCACAGAAAGAAGAATGAGACTTCAGTCTATCACCATTCATGCTCTCAACCATCCAAAGTAGAAAATAGTTCTTCCGAGGGTAATTGAGATTTCCCCTATAAACCAGACGAAATGACAAGAGATTGCACCACGGGCAGGAAATGAAAAGCGGAAGTTGAATCGGTAGAGTCGGAAATTTCACAACAGCTGATTGAAGTCCTAGAATGCAGTTTTTACAAAGGGTATGACCACACCATAAAACGTAGGGCACATTTTCTACGATGTTGAAGGATTCACAGCATATAGGGCATTCTAAACACTCATCCCTGTTAACCACAGAAGAGCTTTCATCGTCTGAACATTCTGATGCAGCATGAGGTTGCTTTAGAAAATCATTTTTTCTTCCAACAGTTCCCGCAACACAGTTGGGTGCAAAACTCCACATGTTGATACAAGGAACACAACCAAGTTTACATAGCCAGCATGAATTTCTAGTATCAGAAATTGAGCATTAATAATTATAAAATAATCGTAAAATCGATAAGATCCATCTGCAAATATATATACAAAAAGTGCTGAAAACCAAGTAAGAATAATAGGCACTTTAGGCAGCAAAGACTTCAGTAAGCATTTCTATTTCAATTGCATGCAACAAATGTATCAGTCTAACAGTCCTTTTCGAATGAACTCCCCATTAATACACATGCATATTATACTACAAATCAAAAGGGAAAACACTAAGATTTGCTCATCCATAGATCTTCAACAAACAAACACGAAACTAAAATTCACAGTGGTTAGTGAGGACCAAAGTCGGGATGATCGTTTGCCTACTAAGTCGGATGCAAGCCTAATTTGAGTTTGAAAAATCATGCAGGATGATCGCTTGACTTCTAAGTCGGAAGCAAACCTAATTCGACAAAATACGCATTGGTTCTTCCCTATAAAAAGTGAAGACTGGTTCACAAAGCGAGCTATTTTCAAGCTTTGGGCACTTGATTTGCAGATGCAGCCTTGCAAATTTCCTCGACTCAATCAAGTTCGAATTTCAGCTTATGAAAGCTAAGACATGGTAAACCAAAGCTATCATACAACTCCGTTATCAAACCATTCGATGCGCAAAACCCGAAGTTTAGCTAAGCTCTTGCAATCTTTCTTATGAGATTGGAACTAGTAGGATGGGATTCAAATAACACCCAATTCTTAAGAATGAAAAATATATCATTTCATTTTAAAGCTACTATTGAAAATTGAAAAATATACACACAAGAACGAAAACAACTACAAGTTGAATCAGATATGCAACAAAATGAAAGAGCCCAGAAAGGGAAACACCTTAGATGATCATATAACATAAAACCCAGAAAGAAACAAAATATTTTTCTCTTTTGAAAGTGTTGTTACTTCGCAAACAACCTAGCCATTAACTCATACAATACTTGCCCAGAAAAAGATACGATCTTTAAATTTAAACGCGTCTTTTAACAGAAAATTGAAAACAAAAAAAGAAAGAAACTTTGAAGTAGTAATCTTACGGAGTACTTTGAATCGTGATTTGATGATAAACAAATAGAGAAGAACAACGAGTTTCAAAGCTCTCGTTTTCTATCTGCTTTTCACTCCTTATATTTATAGTAAAAGGAAATATTTAATTTAATTTTTATATAATATTATATTTTACATTTTTTTTAAAATCATCTCGTATTTGAGTAACCGGATCCAAACGGCATCGGCAAAGTATAATACGCAGATAGAATAAGGTTTTGGGGTATTTATTTAGTTATACTATTATAACAATTTACAAAATGATCCCTTAATTTTAAAAACTAACAAATTGGTCCATTGTTTTTAAGAAGTTGATGACTGATGAGATTGTTAATAAAATTGTATAGTGATGATTTTAAAAACCAACATTTTATGTTTTTGTCTGCATCTTTGGATAAATGCATTGATTTCTGTACTTCTGAACACTATTCTGCCACATATGCACATCTATGTTATCTATATTCGATTTTTCAATTATTCAGAGGATTATTTGAGATTCATTTCCATGCATACATTAGATGCCAATAATTAAAGAAAACTAAAGAGTTGGGAACGACATTGATGCAAATTAATACAAATCATTATTTTCTCAATATTTTCCCATCTACATGGTTTTTCCATGGTGTGGTAGATGATTTTGTTTTGACATTTGATGGAGGTTTATGTCGACTTAATGTGTCGGTAACGTCTCTATAGATCAACGACGCGAGGCTAAGGGTGGACGAGAGTGGGAACTTGACCCTCGAGGCAGTGATGTACTCCTTAATTCGACTGGAGGACAGCATAATATTTAGCCTTCTAGAGAGAGCTCAATATTGTCATAATGAGAATACATATGACCCTGATGCCTTTTCAGTGGAGGGGTTCCATGGCTCTTCGGTCGAGAACATGCTTCGAGAAACCGAAAAGCTTCATGCTCAGCAGCTCAGGTATGTCAGAGTCAATAAGCAGAGAGAGAAAGGGAATAGGTGTAGCAAAATCCACATTGCTTTGCTGATAAACCCTTTAATTATCCATTAGGTTGGCAGATACATGAGCCCAGACGAGCATCCATTCTTCCGAGACGAATTACCGGACCCCTTGTTGCCACCTCTGAAATACCCTTAGGTAAAATGATAGGAGGCGTTACATTTTATCGCTATTTTGCAGTGGCATTGGACTTACGTTTATTGCTCCCTTTGTCCACAACTCCACATTCTCACTCACTAATATATGAAGTATTCTGTTCATTGTGTGTTTTATTTGAACTCTTAAGTATTCGTTAGTGTAAAGAATGGGTACGTTAGGTCGGTCTTCGATTCGTATCCGAAAAGCGTAAAATGATATCACGGGAAAATATAGTCATCAGCTGGGAAATTGGTATTAAGTAGCCTCTTGAAGGACTTGTGGAGTACTTCCATCTCTATGACCCTTCTTCCTCGTTAGTGTAAGTGTCGGATATGAATGTGTCCGACATTGGCGTGTTCGATATTTATTGAAGTTTTTCCATATTTGGAGAGTCTTTGGGGGGTCGTGTCTCATACTCGTTTTTTGAATATGCATCAAACGCTACTTTTGGAGCAACACATCTCTTCGTACTATCTTTTGGTGATGAATGATGCTCTTTATGGCATCATGAGAATATAAGATTTAAATTGTTATGTTGAGTAATGGTATGATCTGATCTATTATGATACTGAATGGCATTCGATTCGAAGAATTTAATCCTCTGCACGGTGCACATGATCTGTATCTCTCGTTGTCCATAATGTTGATGTATTTGTTGGACATTCAGAATTTTCCACTGTTGAGTGCTCGGTTTTTAACTTCACAAATATTATTCCGAGATTAGCAAAGGAAGGAGATGACGGCAATTGTGGATCTACCGCCGTTTGTGACACCATGTGTTTGCAGGTAAATATTTAAGCCAGGTCTCACGTGCATTTCCTATTGGTTTTCAGGGCATGCGTAGATAGATACCTGTTGTTCCGATTGGTGGTTGTATGGATACAACATGATGTTCAGGAAACCACTGGATGCTTAACATTTATGCGTCATTGCAGGCTCTTTCGAAGAGAATTCATTACGGAAAATTTGTATCAGAATGTAAATTCCGGACATCTCCCGATGCTTATCAAGCTGCCATTAGAGAACAGGTATTGTTTATGACATGAGTTTCCATTCCCAGACTTGCTCATTGAAGCATTTATCGGATTCTGTTCGCATTATTTGTTCTTCCATTTTTGCAGGACAGGGATTTGCTGATGAAGTTGCTGACATTTCCCTCGGTCGAAGAATCGATCAAGAAAAGAGTAGAAACGAAAACCAGAACATACGGACAAGTAATGCAGGGTGATGATATATGCAAAAACGACAGTGATCCGGTATACAAAATAAACCCAAGCTTGGTAGCCGACTTATACGGCGACTGGATCATGCCTGTCGACGAAGGAAGTCCAAGTCGAGTACCTGTTGAGAAGGTTAGACTGATCGGAATGAATTTAAACAGCTCTATTCAGCTGTTATGATGAAACCGAAGTATGTTCATGTTGTAAATTGCAATGCTTTTATAATGATACAGATTATACCCGGATCGTACGAGTTATATAAATTTTAGTTTATACAAGTCTGATTATTTTATCGATTTCGAGTTATATTTAGGTTTTGTGGTTTATAAAATCTTTTTATCGAGTTTTGATCGAGTCGATTTGGAGCAATTAAGAGATGGAATTCTTTTATGGTATGTCATTATGGCTAAAGAAATTGCAGGTTTAATGATCAACCCTCAAGTATGATGATCCTACACCCTTAATAATTATGAACACATGGGAGAGGGTCATTTGGTTTTTATTCTTTTGATGTTTTTGGGCCAAATTTATTAAATCAATCATAATGGTCCCTAAACTAGGGACCATTGTCACCTACATGAAATAATTTATACAATTTATGTACCCCACTCTGGATTTGATAATGACATACAACTATGAAGGATCACTCATGCTCATTTCATGCAAAAGTTTTGTCTATAACACAAATGACTAAGCAAAAAGAAAAAAATCAATGAAGTTCGAAGCAGAAGAAAAAACTGTGAATTTGTGAAACATAAAATAAGGGTTTTTTTTTATTAATCAAGTTAATACACTAAATACTGATTTTGTAAATAGAATAATTAAATCGAAACAATTATTTTTATAATATTTGATTTAAATAAATTAAAAAATAAAACTTTTGTTTAACCCATGTTACTCAATCCAGATAAAAATAATAATCTGAACCAGTTGTGGATCTAGAAACTGCCCCAACCCTAAAAAAAGTTGTTTTTTTTTTCTCTTCTTTTTATCGGTAACCATTAGCTGGCTATTTGCTTATAAACCCATAACCAGAAGCAATTCCAAAGCCAATTCAGAGCAAACCAAAAGAGAAAACAAGCTCAACAATGGAGAGAAGCAAAGTGATGACGATGACAATGGCAGCTCTGGGATTAGCTTTGGTGTTAATGGTTCAACAGGCGGATGCTACAAGGTTCATTGTGGGAGGGGGAGGCATTGGTTGGACCACTAATGTCAATTACACTGTCTGGGCTAAAGGGAAGCACTTCTACAATGGCGACTGGCTCTGTAACTTGCTCTATCTTCTTCTTTCTTTAGATCAACTTTACACTATTCTTTTCTTTCCTTTTCTGGCTATCGCCATTTTACCTTCTTTTTATGGTTGATAAATTGATAGATCTGGACATGGGTTGTTTTCAAATGAATTGGTAATCTCAAATCTTGAATTTTTGTCTTTGATTCCATGGAAAGATATAGTTTAACTGCTAGTTTTAGAATATTCTTAACCTTTTTTTTAATCTTTTTTATCGCTTTGTTGAAGTTGAACTAAGAAAAGGGAATGTTTTAATATAGGTTTGAAGGAATGGAGTTTCTAATTGTGCTTTTTTGTGTGTTTATTGGTCTTCAAATTGATGTTAAAGTTCATATTTTTGCTGGCCCAGAAAATGCAGAAATATGAAGGAAAGTGGGGGGGGGGGGGGAAGTTCTCCTTTGGTCTGGAAAATGTACTTTGGTTGCTTCTGTAGTCGAGATTCATTGTTCATGTTTATGTAAAATGAAATATGAAATCATTTTTGGTCTTCAAAACCCTCTAACAAGCCTCTCTAAGCACTGGATCCATGTTATTCCGAATCTTCATGTTCTTGAAGTATTCATATCCGAGTTCGAGTAACTAGTAACTAATTTCGTTCGAACACATATTCGAATATGGATCTAAAGGAACGATCCACCAAAATGTATGACACTCGCCTCTGAGGTCTGAGAGCTGAGACCATTAAGTTGCTGCAGATCCTGTTTTTGAGTTACAGTTGATTGAAGTTATAGTTTTTTTAAGAAAAGTGGCTGATAGTTCTATGCATCTGATTGTTTGTGTTTGTTTTTTTATTTCCCAGTTTTCGTATACGATCGGAACCAGATGGACGTGCTAGAGGTGAACAAGACGGACTATGAGTCATGCAATACTGATCATCCACTTCACAACTGGACAACCGGAGCCGGAAGGGATGTGGTTCCGCTTAACGTGACTCGCCATTACTATTTCATTAGCGGCAAAGGGTTCTGCTACGGAGGCATGAAGCTAGCGGTCCGTGTCGAGAACCCGCCTCCACCTCCTAAGGCTGCTCCGTTGGACGAAAAGAGTGGCTCCTCACCGAGTACCATTGTCTACAGAGGCCAGCTTGTTATACCAGCTGCTCTCGCCATTGCTGCAGTGTGGGATGCATTTGTTCGAATCTGGTAGTTTCGAAATCGAGATCGAACTCGAGATAATTCCTTCATCAATTGTGAAGCCGAATCAGAACGATTCATATTCCATTTCTTCTTAAATTATTGGTGTGTTTTTTCTTTTCTTTTTTGTTCCAAAATAGTTGACATGAAACTAGCTTTAGGAGAAATTATTGTTTGAATTTGTGGGAAAATGCAATGTTATTTAGTTCTTTCATCAAGTGTTTAAACAGTTGCCGCTTTTATATTTCAAATTCGAGTTTTGTCACGCAGAGATATGAAAAATTTAAAATAATTATAAGATAATATCGATTCAAAAAAAAAATAGTCTATTGATGACGGCTGATGCACATACATCTTAATGTAGTTACTTAAACTCGAACCTATTAAGAAAAAGATCATTCCTTTTTATCGCTAAAATCACTCGATATTCTCTATGATTCGGGATATAAATGTTTGAACATTGGGGTCCAAAGTTGTGCATGTGACTAGGTCACTTTCTGTTGATGTTTTGTTTGGTATCCTGAACACAGGGCATTGATTTCGGAACCATGTTCTTCTTTCTTTGTTTGAAGCTTCTCTCCACACAAAGTGCAATCATTCATTCTTCTCATTTCATAAATGTGGATGTTTGAATTTTAAAGTTTGGTCCGGCAACTCTGAATAAGAATTTAAATATAATAAATAAAATAGACAAAACAATAGAAAATTGAATAAAAATGTCAAAATCATGCCCTTAGGTACAAGTTGATATGGACTGCTATGAAAATTGAAACGATATAATGTAATACCGTATTGGTGCCTCAAACGAGAAATCAAGCATTCCATTAAATATATTTGCGGTAAAGCTGGTGTTATAATAATGTTTGAGATTCAACAAAATGAAATTGATCCCTCCATGCAAGTTTCTAAATTTGGTATCATGCACTTCGACGACGACAATCCCGTTAAGCATCCAGAGACGTCCGAAGCGTCGGTATGTGGCCGTGATCGGAAAAGTCAATCTTGTTTAGTCTCAGACAGCACAATACTTGCTCCGGAAGCTCCTCTTGTTTTTGTGCCTGTCGATCAAAGGCAAAGATCATTAACCCAAAGTTAAACATCGATGATTTTAGGCCAAGTTTACTGTATTTTAAAGTATAATGTCCTTTCTGTTTTTGGTTATTCTGTGTTTTTATTGGTGATCAGGAAATCGTAAGTGCTGCACAGAAGTCAAATACATCGAACTTGCTTGACCGGAATGACATTAACTCGGCTAGATCCCGGATTAGTATCCAATCAGAGATTGGGGTATTACCTGGATGGTTAAACCCAGATCAAGAACTCCGTTTTTCAATCGATCTCGAAACGACTCAAGCCCCTTTCTCGATATGTAGCTGAAGCGATGAATGTCCAGATCGATCTCAAAGTAATTAGAACCCTGCATGCGAATTATAGAATCAACATCCTCGTAACCGATCCTGAGAATGACTTAGTACTGCTATCCGTGTCTGTAATCTATCGGCTCAACTAAACACTAACAAACCCAATGAACAAAGCAGAAACTTGTATGCTATACCTTATAAAAATTATGCTGAGGGCGTGAGAGAACCGGCTTTTCGTTATAAGCATTTACGAGTTTCTTCTCGGTAGAACTCAAATTGAGATCATTGGGATTAACCAAACCGGCCATGATCTTTAGCCTTTCTCTGAAGGGAATGATCGAGTCTATCGCGAACCCTTTAACCTTTTCCATCTCATCATCGACCAATTTCTGGAGAAAAAGCAGAAATTATAAACAGACATTACACAGTGAGAGAGAGATAAAAGAAAAAGTGGCTAATATTGGATGAATGAACTGGAAACACAAACCGAAAAGATAAGGTTATCCCATTTTTTCAATTCAATTTTCATATTATCTGCCATACTAGAACTACAAAATACTCTAAAAACACGAGACATGCATGTGATGCCAAGACAGTGAAGCTAAAATGTACATCTAAATCTGTTACTTGAATTAGAAGGTATGAGATATAGGTATGTCTCCAGCACGATACGTTAAACGTATTTTTAACGTTTTTCATGTATTTAAAAGATGATTGGAAAGTAATATCTTCATCCTCAAGTCAGACTCGGGCATCAACACAAGTACTTCAAATATATATGAAGAGTCAGAGCAATATCAGAAAAAATTAGCGAACCATTTAGCCTGAGAAACCAGATTAGGTACCCTTCTATTACCGAGACTACGGATATTACCACGCTTTCCAAAAGTGGAATGTTATAATGTTACCTTGATGCTCTCTTGATAGTGTGGAGAAATGAGTTGGTCAAAATTCTCGTGAACTTTGAAATAAAGAACAAGACTCATTCCTTCACCATCACCATCACCGAGGAACACTGCAGCAGGATATGTTGGCAACTGCAAGAGAAGACATGTGACGATACAAATCGCTTAAAAGAAATTGCTGGGAAGCATTTTTATTAATGATTAAACTGCAGAGCAATATACCTGAATATTAACAATTAGAAGAGGGGGAACTTTCCCATTTGCTTTTACATTAGGAAGCTCGATATGTTGGGCAATATGATTTATCTTTCTTGGGCAGATAAACAAGTCAACACCTATTGGAGTATACGGGGAGAAATGCGGTGCTGGACACTTCCGTTTATCTCTGTACAGAAAATAAATCATCAGTCGTGAATTTCAATATAAAACTATTAACACGTAAGATAAGTCAAGGGTGAGAATCACTAGCATACTTGAAATAGGTCTCGCCTCGAAGTTTAAAAGTTGATGGCTTAATCTCGGACCAACATCCTCGACCCGCCTTCTCATCCTTGCTACACGGAATTATATATCCTGCTCTGGGACGATATAAAAACCGTTTTGATGTACCTGTTATCGATGAAGTTGATATTATAAGCAAATTTTATACTTTAGGAATAATCATTGAACTCAATAAAGTAGTACTAAATAGAACTTTGGAAATAAACTTGACCCAAACTGCTTACAGTTTTCAAGTTTGTCTTCTGTGTCACACGACGACCTCCACTTAAAAGAAAGCCTTAAAACGGCTGATTTCTTTCTTTGGGATTGTGGAGTCGTACCCGATGTTAAAATCTTCTCATTGAAACTCACAGAAGGAATCATTCTTGATAATCCCGATCTTAAGTTTTTCTCTTCGGAATTACGCCTATCCTCTTTCAGTCCTTTAAAGCTTCCATAACGATGATCTAATGGTTTCTTCTTCCTATTACAAATTTCATCGGCCTTTCCGTCATACTGAAGCAGCTGACCACTTGACATATTCCCAATGGCATTACCCAACGGAAAACCATCTGGAAAAGAAAAGTCCGGACAAATTACATATATAAGACTGTCATAGATGATTAATCTTCTTGTTGTCCATTCAAAATTACTTGCTTAGAATTGTGCACACAACCACTAAACAGTTCATATGGTAGAGTACTAAACAACGCAAACTCTACAATGTAATACCGTATTGGTGCCTCAAACGATATAATGTAATACCGTATTGGTGCCTCAAACTAAACAATAGAAAATTGAATAAAAATGTCAAAATCATGCCCTTAGGTACAAGTTGATATGGACTGCTATGAAAATTGAAACGATATAATGTAATACCGTATTGGTGCCTCAAACGAGAAATCAAGCATTCCATTAAATATATTTGCGGTAAAGCTGGTGTTATAATAATGTTTGAGATTCAACAAAATGAAATTGATCCCTCCATGCAAGTTTCTAAATTTGGTATCATGCACTTCGACAACGACAATCCCGTTAAGCATCCAGAGACGTCCGAAGCGTCGGTATGTGGCCGTGATCGGAAAAGTCAATCTTGTTTAGTCTCAGACAGCACAATACTTGCTCCGGAAGCTCCTCTTGTTTTTGTGCCTGTCGATCAAAGGCAAAGATCATTAACCCAAAGTTAAACATCGATGATTTTAGGCCAAGTTTACTGTATTTTAAAGTATAATGTCCTTTCTGTTTTTGGTTATTCTGTGTTTTTATTGGTGATCAGGAAATCGCAAGTGCTGCACAGAAGTCGAATACATCGAACTTGCTTGACCGGAATGACATTAACTCGGCTAGATCCCGGATTAGTATCCAATCAGAGATTGGGGTATTACCTGGATGGTTAAACCCAGATCAAGAACTCCGTTTTTCAATCGATCTCGAAACGACTCAAGCCCCTTTCTCGATATGTAGCTGAAGCGATGAATGTCCAGATCGATCTCAAAGTAATTAGAACCCTGCATGCGAATTATAGAATCAACATCCTCGTAACCGATCCTGAGAATGACTTAGTACTGCTATCCGTGTCTGTAATCTATCGGCTCAACTAAACACTAACAAACCCAATGAACAAAGTAGAAGCTTGTATGCTATACCTTATAAAAATTATGCTGAGGGCGTGAGAGAACCGGCTTTTCGTTATAAGCATTTACGAGTTTCTTCTCGGTAGAACTCAAATTGAGATCATTGGGATTAACCAAACCGGCCATGATCTTTAGCCTTTCTCTGAAGGGAATGATCGAGTCTATCGCGAACCCTTTAACCTTTTCCATCTCATCATCGACCAATTTCTGGAGAAAAAGCAGAAATTATAAACAGACATTACAAAGTGAGAGAGAGATAAAAGAAAAAGTGGCTAATATTGGATGAATGAACTGGATACATAGACCGAAAAGATAAGGTTATCCCATTTTTTCAATTCAATTTTCATATTATCTGCCATACTAGAACTACAAAATACTCTAAAAACACGAGACAAGCATGTGATGCCAAGACAGTGAAGCTAAAATGTACATCTAAATCTGTTACTTGAATTAGAAGGTATGAGATATAGGTATGTCTCCAGCACGATACGTTAAACGTATTTTTAACGTTTTTCATGTATTTAAAAGATGATTGGAAAGTAATATCTTCATCCTCAAGTCAGACTCGGGCATCAACACAAGTACTTCAAATATATATGAAGAGTCAGAGCAATATCAGCAAAAATTAGTGAACCATTTAGCCTGAGAAACCAGATTAGGTACCCTTCTATTACCGAGACTACGGATATTACCACGCTTTCCAAAAGTGGAATGTTATAATGTTACCTTGATGCTCTCTTGATAGTGTGGAGAAATGAGTTGGTCAAAATTCTCGTGAACTTTGAAATAAAGAACAAGACTCATTCCTTCACCATCACCATCACCGAGGAACACTGCAGCAGGATATGTTGGCAACTGCAAGAGAAGACATGTGACGATACAAATCGCTTAAAAGAAATTGCTGGGAAGCATTTTTATTAATGATTAAACTGCAGAGCAATATACCTGAATATTAACAATTAGAAGAGGGGGAACTTTCCCATTTGCTTTTACATTAGGAAGCTCGATATGTTGGGCAATATGATTTATCTTTCTTGGGCAGATAAACAAGTCAACACCTATTGGAGTATACGGGGAGAAATGCGGTGCTGGACACTTCCGTTTATCTCTGTACAGAAAATAAATCATCAGTCGTGAATTTCAATATAAAACTATTAACACGTAAGATAAGTAAAGGTGAGAATCACTAGCATACTTGAAATAGGTCTCGCCTCGAAGTTTAAAAGTTGATGGCTTAATCTCGGACCAACATCCTCGACCCGCCTTCTCATCCTTGCTACACGGAATTATATATCCTGCTCTGGGACGATATAAAAACCGTTTTGATGTACCTGTTATCGATGAAGTTGATATTATAAGCAAATTTTCTACTTTAGGAATAATCATTGAACTCAATAAAGTAGTACTGAATAGAACTTTGGAAATAAACTTGACCCAAACTGCTTACAGTTTTCAAGTTTGTCTTCTGCGTCACACGACGACCTCCTCTTGAAAGAAAGCCTTAAAACAGCTGATTTCTTTCTTTGGGATTGTGGAGTCGTACCCGATGTTAAAATCTTCTCATTGAAACTCACAGAAGGAATCATTCTTGATAATCCCGATCTTAAGTTTTTCTCTTCGGAATTACGCCTATCCTCTTTCAGTCCTTTAAAGCTTCCATAACGATGATCTAATGGTTTCTTCTTCCTATTACAAATTTCATCGGCCTTTCCGTCATACTGAAGCAGCTGACCACTTGACATATTCCCAATGGCATTACACAACGGAAAACCATCTGGAAAAGAAAAGTCCGGACAAATTACATATATAAGACGGTCATAGATGATTAATCTTCTTGTTGTCCATTCAAAATTACTTGCTTAGAATTGTGCACACAACCACTAAACAGTTCATATGGTAGAGTACTAAACAACGCAAACTCTACAATGTAATACACCGAGAAAATTAGCAATCATAAGTTTGTGATATATCTAGCCCCCGCCATTGTCTAAAATTCAGAAGATACATAAAAACTAAGACAAGATAATTACTAGTTTCATGCGGTGATTGATAGTTCAATAGTTCAGCTCCAAAATGTTCCATTGCTATATCATCATGCTCTATTTTTTATTACAGAACTTTAAATTATCATCAAGTAAAGGTTGAATCGTCGGTTACCTCCTTGAATGCTGATGAAGTCATCATCTGAATCAGATTCAAGAATACTAACTGAATCGAACCAAGCATCCTCTTGGGAAGCTCCTGCAGCAAGGAAAAACTTAGTCAACTTGGATTTTCATTTGTAGTATATACTAAAATCTAGTGCTAAAGGACTAAAAGAAAATAACAACAAAGATATTGCTGTTAAGACATTTCATTGCATAGAATGAAAAGTTCACTACAAGAGTGCCATCATTTTTCTTTAAGTTTACATGTCTGATACTTGTGTTTTGAAAAATATTCGAACTTGGGTACGGAGTATGATCCTCCAAATATGGAAAAACAATAAAAAAATGCATTCTCATGTCAAATTCAAACCCTAATCCAACTATTGAGTTCAATTAGCAAAATGCATATGTTAGACTACCATCTATACTCATTACCTATCTTAAAAAATAAGCAGTGCCTTCAATTTTGGGAGAAAAAAAAATTGTTTTACATCATTTCTTCACAAGTTTTCCGTAATCTTATATATTAGCAAAATGTATTTGCAAAAACTATTAATATCTACCGAAATAAATGATCTACCATTTGTATCAATTTGACTCAGATGCCACTGCAACTGAGTGAGATGAAATGAAGAGTTCGAAACCTCGGATTTTCTACGAGTAGTGGCTATACCATTCTCAAAATCCATATGTACATATCCACTAACAGCTATATCCGTTACACGGGCATCACTATTCCTTTTCTTGGTTCCATCCGTCATAGAACTGGTACCCTTCCCACGGCATTTTCGGATCCGACGACGGGATCTCCTCACAGTCCTGATTCTTTTGGCAGGTGCTGATACACAACTCCCCATCAAGACTGTAATTGCAGAACCCTGGATAACAGCAAATATCGTCTACAATGAATATGCCAGCCGTTTTGGCCAGAAGCCGAATTTACTGTAGGAGAGATCGAAAGACTTGCAGTTAACAACAGACACCCATAACATGATCAATTCAGGGTGAAAAAAACAAGTTTTATAGGTGAATATATCTGGAACCATCATGATCATGATCATAATCATAAAAAACCCTTATGTAAAGAACTCATGTCCGGAAAATATGAGGGACATGACACGCCCAAGTTCGAATAACATAGCATATTATCAAACAAGTATAGATTTAAACAACTAAGTTAAGAACCAAATATACAGTCCTCAATTAATCATGGATTTTTTTTAGCTTAAACCTTCCATATTAACTAAATCAGAACAAAAAATCTAAAAAGGAGAAACAAAAACAACCTTGAAATAATCCCAAAAAAATAATAATTTGAAAAAACTTAAGATGATCGATGTATAAAGAAACCGAGTGTTTAAACATGAAGCAAAACCTCTTTGAAGTTTGAAGTTTAACCAGAAATATAATATGGAAAAACTAAGAAGAAAAGAAGGTTTAGACTCCACATCCAATGAAGTTAAGGAGACAAAAATGAAGAGGATGGAGGCCAACAGAAACAATGAAATCTGTCCCACATCAGAAAGTAACATGAAAGTAAGAGGAAAATAACTTTTAACTAATTTAATTATATATATATATATATATAATAAAAAAAACTCTATTAAATTGGAAAATACTTGTTTTTTGGCTATGATGAAAAGAAGCAACAGTGCTCAAACTTTAAAGAAAACCATGTCAACAAGATTTAATAGCATATTTTATTCCTTAGAAAATGGCAAGGAAAAAAATTGAAACTTTGAATCCAGAACTGAAATTTAGCTAATACATAATACACATGCAGAATCAACCAATCGTATAATCAAAAGCACATACCTTTAAAAAAGGGCCGGGGGGGGGGGAAGAAAGCATTATTAAAATGAATATTAAAAGTCAATGCTGCTAACTACAAGTCTACAAGAAACGAGAAAAAAAATGAATCTAAAGAAGAAATTACAGGGAAAAACTCAAGTTTTATGAACAGAAAACTTTGAATGTGCTGAGGGAAAACAAACAAAAGCAAATATCTTTACAAATATAATAAAATTAAGAGAAATTGATCAAATTCAAATGAAAGTTACCTTGATCGTTTTCCTTTCTCTCCAGAAAAGGGATCTCTCTGGTGAGTAAAGCAGACTGCGAACAATTCGGGTCGGATCCGGGTAGAAGATTGAACAAAAAATATGCAAGTTCTATGTGTTTTTTCTTTCTTTCAAAGAATGGGAAAAATAAATAAATAAATAAAGAGATGAAAGAATGTAAAGTAGTAAGAAAGGAATTAGTAGAGAAGGGACTTCTTATGGCTAATTAAAACGAGGGTTAAATGAACGGAGGGAAGACATGGAGATGGAGCTTTGTTCCATGCCGCGTTCAATTTAGCTTTTGTTTGAAAGCTCCTTTCTTTTACTCGAGATTGGGGTAAACTATATTAATGGTTCCTAAAGTTTTAAATAATTTACAATTTAATCACCAAGTATTTAAAACTCACATTAGAATTACTTAGATTTAAGAATATTTTTATTTTGATCGCTTTGTTAAGGCTTAAATATAAAATAATTGTTCAAATTATAGAGTTTTTCACGAATAAGTGTTTAAACTATTTTTTGAATGATCTTTATGCTTAATGTTACAAACGTTGCTATTTTAGGTACTCAAGTCGTCAACGGCTTTAATTTCATCTATTAAGTAATATGTTTCACAATATAGTTTTTATTTAAAATTTAAAAAATAAAATTATATTTAAAAACACATAGAAAATTTGAAATAACCCAAAACTTTGAAAACATTCATTTCATCCCCTAAACCCACTTTGGATGCTGTCCTTTGCCATCGACGAGGCTCCACCAGACCTCACCTTCCTCTGACGATCAAAATCCCTATGAAATTATGATCGATCGACGGTGAATTGACGTTTTATACCTCGCGAACCCTAGATGAAAATAATAACCCCATGTGATTTCGAAAACCAATCGGTGATAAATACAATGACTTATAACTAGGATGATGGAAAGAGTTACGTCGACAGCGGTGATAATGGCTGAAAAGGTCGGCGACGGGTGTTAGGGATATGATTTGTGGATTTTATGGATTTTGAAACTTTTTGTAATTTAAGAGAAATTAGGGGTTTTTAATAAATATAATAACATTTTTTAAATAAACTTTAAAATTACGAGATAGTGGCACGTGTCACTTAATGAATAAAATTAACGTCGTTGATGGATCAGACGCCTAAAGTGATAATGTTTGTAACGTTAAACTCTTAAATCATTCAAAAAATATTGTAGGCACATATTCGTGAGAAAAGTGCTATAATTTGGGCACTTATTTTATATTTAAGCCTTTTGTTAACCATAGTTGATGTGAGATGTTTAAACTTTAGAGATTTTATGTAAGTTTTAAAGGTTTTATGACCAAATTGTAAGGGGTCTTAAAAATTGGTGACTATTAGTACAATTTATTTTTGAGGCAATTTTGTTTCTTAAGGCTCCTTCGATGTGATGAGTCATCGATTTCGTTTTGTTCGATTTTGAAAAATAGGTGTTTAACACAATTATTAAACTCTAACAGATTTAGAAACAGATAAAATATCAATTAAGCCCTTGCATGCCACCTAGCATTTTTACTTTCATTCAATTATTTGGGTAAATTTAATGTTTGGTACCTTAGCTTGATTCTATAATTCAAATGGGTACTTATTATTTTCTTGTATACAGAAATGATCCCAAAATAGTTCTTTTTTCCTTTTAAAATGATGGCTTTTAAGGTATTTTTTCAGAAAGTTACCTAATAATTCGATTTTGGAGGGATATTTAGATATCTATAATTTGTAAATTTTACTGTATTGAAACACTATAAATATATAAATAATTTTCAAAATTTTATTCATTTTTTAAATTAATAGATTTCATTAGATTGCGTGTAATTATATCTTATAAAAATATCTAAAGAAACGTGAAGATTTGTGATCAGGAGAGAATGTAACTACTACATCAACAATACACGTTATTATAATTATTTTTACAATATTCAAACACACTCTTGAAATTTAATAAAAAAAATGAAATTAATTTATTCAATTATGAATTCGAGTAAATGTAATATATATATACTATATTATAAGAAATAAGGGTAAATTACACATTTAGTATTTAAACTCTCAGTTTTAGTCTATTTTAATACCTAAACTTTCGATTTTCTCAAAATCATATATAAAGTTTAGTTTTTGTTTCATCTTAGTACACGCCGTTAAAACCTTTAGTTTTATTTCATTTTAGTACCCATTCAAAATTTAACGACAAGTTTAGGAAAAAAATTGAAAGTTTAGGTACCAAATACGTAGTTTAACCAATAAATAAAAACATTTAATCTAGGTCTAATGGGCATTTGGAGCTTCGTTTTCCTTGCTGCCGATTGCTGGTTTTTCTTCCTGATTTTGGTTGTAACTGTTCTGATTTCTCAATTCTTTCTTGATTTTTATGGAACCCTTGTCTTCTGAGCTTGATTGGAGAAAGCTTTTTCGAGGAACGAAAGAACAATCCCTATAGTATTTTCCGCCTGAATTGCTGGAGGGTATTTCTACTGTAAAGCCTCCTATTGCTGTAATTGAAGAGGGAATCATTGAATGGGGTTGTGTTGTGGTTGGGCAATTCATTGGAGACGTTCCCAATTTTGGCTCCATGCAGCGTATTGCAGAGATTCTGTGGGGGAAAGCTTCGCATGTTAAGCTTGGCTGGGCACAATCTCTATGTTTTTTCATTCTCTAATTTGGAATTGAGAGACTGGGTGCTTGAGAATGGCCCTTGGCACATTCAAAACAAGCCTCTCGTGTTAAGGAAATGGGAACCGAACTTAAGGAAACTTGATTTTGATCTTAAATGTATGCCTGTCTGGGTTCAGCTGTACAATGTTCCCTTAGAGCTTTTTTCTCGAGTAGGTCTCAGTTATATAGCAAGTGTTGTGGGTAATCCATTGTACATGGATTCTGTTACTGCTTCAAAATAGAGGCTCGAGTTTGCCAAAGTTTGTGTCAAGGTTGAAGCTGGGGCAGTGATCCCTGAGGTGATCCAGGTAGTCTTAAGTGATGGCTCTTTTGCAAAAATTCGAGTGTATGCTCCTTGGTTTCCTAAGTTTTGTTTAGAGTGTAATACTTTTGGCCATTTAGCAAGTAGTTGTGCTGAAGTGCTAAAAGGCCCTTCGAAAACTAAGGAAACTAAAGAATCTCATTTTTGGAGAAAGAAGGTGAATTCAAGTGCTCCTGCTTATGCTGGTAAAGAGAGGTTGGTTGACAATTCTAGTTTGCCTTTGGCTCCCTCTACTTCTGCTACACAGAAGGCTCTACCAAACAGTGAGATGTAGTGGGCTACCAGTTTGCAACTGGGTGTTATCGAGGAAGTTTCTGTCCTTGCTCTTCAGGAACTTACTGCTGCCACTCTGCAGGTGGAAAAAGAAATGACAGATAATCCTGGGAAAGATGATCAGGTTAAGATACTGCATGATCTTGCTTCTCAAGGTAGTAAACTTGAGGTAAAGGAAAGTGTTGTTTCTCAATCTCCTGGGAATGCTGTTATTGCTAACTCTGTTAAGGAAGTTTCTGGTAGTGGTGATCTGATTGATATTGCTGGAGATAAAATCATCCCTATAGCTACAAACTGTGGTGGAGATTTTCCATCTCTACAGGATTCTTTAAATCAAAAGAAGAAGTCTAGGAAGAAAAAGAAGGATAACATTGGTTCTTCTAGCAAATTTGAGTCTCTTGCTGGAGGAGGTGTTCTTGATGGGCCAAGGAAGACCATGACAGCATCCTTGGGTGTTGCTATGCTTCTTAATGAAATCAAGACAAAAAAGAAAGAACATTTGGATAAAGCTAAGGGTGAGATATTTTGTGGTGGTGGTAGTGGAGACCCTCCTATTCCTAACAAATGATTATTAGTTTTTGGAATGTTAGGGGGATCAATAATAGCCTTAAACTGAGAAGAGTTATAAGGAGATTGGAGGATTTATGTGTTGATGTTATTTGTTTTATGGAAACCAGAGTTCGAAGTGCTAATTGCTCAAAGGTTTTTGAAATCTTGAGTGCTGATTGGAATTTTGCTGCTAATTATGATTTTTCTGATGGAGGCAGTGTAACATCCTCCATGTCGGGTGAGTGATTAATTTGCAAAGTTTCAACATTTGGTGATTAAAGTAGAATAATTATATAGTTTAAAAAGTATGGTTAGTAAATATGAGATGGAGGTAAGGACCAAATGGTCATTTGTAAGGAAATTTTAATTAAAATAAAATGTTATGGGGTTATATGAGAACCCACGTGTGACATTAGGTTTCCAGAACCATCCCATTTCTTCTTCCTTATTCCTTATTTTCTTATCTTCCTTCTCTCAACGTGGAGCTTGCAAGTAAAGGTAAGAATCTGAACCTTGGTAGTTTCTTTGATTTTTAAGATTTGAAATGAAAGTTTGGATGTTATATAAGCTAAAGGAAAGCTTATATGACATTAAAACAACAAGATAAGTGTTTTAGAGATAGATTTGGAAAATGAATTTTTAGATGAAATTTTGATAGGAATGAGTTTTTGAAGTTTGAATAAGATTTTTGACTTGTCAAGAAGCTAACTAAGAAGTATGAGGTGTTAGAATTCAAATTAGAACATATTGGAATTTGGGTTGGATTCTTAAATTCTACATGGAGAATTAGATTTCTAGGTTTTAGAGGTATTTAATGGATAATAATTAGTTAAAGTAAGTGTATGAAAGCTAAGAGTAGTAAAGAGAGTGAAATATGTATGTTTGAGCTGAAATGGGATGATTTCCGAGCTCAAAATAGGATTTCTGGGTTAGGGGAATCGGTACCCATTCAAGGGGAACCGATACCCCCTCAACGAATATGAATTTCCAGAATACTAGAGGGGAATCGATACCCCCAGGGGGGACCGATACCCCCTCAACGGATATGAAATTCCAGAATGCTAGAGGGGAACCGATACCCCAGGGGGGGAACCGATTCCCCCATGGGAAAAAAAAGAGAAGAAAGAAAGAAAGACTAAGCTATTAATTTCTTAAATTAATAAGCTATTAAAGCTTAATTGCAAGACATAGACATCTGATGATCATCTTGAAAATTATGTTTATGTAGATACCGAGCCTACACAAGTTCGGGAACAATCTACCAGTAGGATCGATCGAGGAAAAGGCAAAGAAGTATAGGTGAGTGCATATGCATAGCATGATTATAGAAATATACTCCATTCTAGACTTGTGATAAGTCTAGATTTTATATCTTGGTACATGAGCATAGTCGGTATTATGAGACATGACATGAATTCATATAAAATGCATTATATGACATGACTATGTGGGAAAAGTTATGAGCTATGTGAAAAGGTAAGAATTTACATGTCTACGCGATATAGACTACTTGAAATGTAAAAGCCCATGTATGTAGATGAGAACTATAGGTATAGTTGGCATGCCAAGGGTAGAGGGTATACTCGGTTCTTTAGGACATATGTATATTCTTTGGAACCTGTGTGAAGTCTTGAAAGACACATACTTGATCCATAGTATATGTATATGATTCTTAAGGAATTCTATGTGGTCCTTATGGACATCATTATATGGCACTACGGTGCAATTCTACGGGGCACTTCGGTGCAATTCTACGGGGCACTTCGGTGCATTTATACGAGCTGTGGTGACAGCATAGTGCACAACCTCACATTACTCAAATACCTTAGGTTCTCAATATGCTATCATGGGCCAATAAACTTATTAATACAGATTCATAAATGTTACAGTCATACGCTTACAGGTATGGGTATTGATGATGTATACTACATTGATTAAGTACATGTTTGCATTTCATCTCATATGATCATGACATTTTCATTACAATTGCCTTATTATTATTGCCTCACTAAGTCGATGACTTAGCGTGTTAGTGTTTCACACGTAGGATCCGAGGAAATAGACGAGACAGGTGAAGCAGCTTGACAGTATTACTCCTGCAATCATCAGATCAGAAGCAACTTAATCAGTAGGTCATTTTGTTATGTAAATGGCAGTTGGCATGTAATTAAAGAGTTAAGTTGTGTATGCTCTGAATATTTTGGTAAACTTATATTACAGTATGTATATTATTGTATTTTATTAATATAAGTACAAATATTTTACTATTATTTGTTAAGAGTTGTGTTTTAAAGTCAATGTAGTATCTCTGACTCATATCCGGGTCGGGTATGGGTTGGGGGTGTTACATTTAATGGTATCAGAGCTATGGTTTAGCCGATTCTAGGCATAAACCAGAGTCTATAGAGTCTTTAAATGGAATACATGCCAACAAATAGTGAGAACTTCTGATCTGGTATAGTATGAGTATGCTGTTTTGCTAATAGAACAATGTGTTTATTCTTATTAGATGTCCAGACATAATAGCTCCCGAAGTGAAGCGGGAGAAGATAGGCATGCTGAAAGCAGTAATTCACCTGCCCTGGCCAGGCAAGGTGAACAACAGGCATCTCAAGGAGTGCCTGTGCAAGATCAAGATACGTTCTTCAGAACCCTAGACGCTATTCTGAAGCGTCTTCAACCTTCTGCTCCACTAACTCAAAGAATTAATGTAGCAAAAGAGTTGAGAAGTTTAGGAGCTCCCGAATTTAAGGGAGAAGCTGAGGAAGGTCCAGTGTCAACGGATCTTTGGTTGAATGATTTGAAAATCATGTTAGATGGTCTCCACTGTTCCGAAGTGGAGAAATTAGATGGAGCTGTATCTTTATTGAGGGGTCAGGCGAGGATATGGTGGACGAACGTCACCATGAGAATGTCAACCGACCAGTTGACTTGGTCTTTGTTTTTAAAAGAATTTAAAAACAAGTATATTGGAGATCAGTTTATCCGCCAAATGAAGCAGGAATTTATGAATTTGAAGCAGATGAGCCGCTCTGTGTATGAGTACGAATGTGAGTTTAATAAGCTGAGCAGGTTTGCAGCTGAGCTTGTGCCTACTGAAAAAGATGCTTGCGAGTGGTTCGTGGAGGGCTTGCGCCCTAGACTTAAAGAAATGTTGATAGTATTAAACTTGTCCTCGTTCCAGGAGGTGATCAATCGTGCAAAAGCTCTTGAAAGGGCTCAGAATGAAAGATTTGGGGACTCAAGAGTTCAGACATCAAAGAGGACGACTACTTATTCTGGTTCAACACCAACAAAAAGGGGAAGAGACTCGGGATTTCGATCACAAACTAGATCAGAATCAGTTGCATCGTCTGCTAGGGGAGCAAGTCAGGCAAGACCTAGACAGACGCAGTCAGTGGAATCCGGTGCTGGGAGATCTACTCCGGGTCAAGTGAAACAGTGTGAGCACTGTGGGAAAAACCATTATGGGGCTTGTCGTATGGCTGCTGGGACTTGTTTTCGATGCGGAGATGCCGGACATTTTGTCCGGGATTGTCCCTTGATTGTTGGTGAGCCGGCACCATCTGGAAGAGCTGGTTCTTTCTCACAAAGAGGACGAGGAAGAGGCAGAGGAAGGAACCCGTCTGAATTCTCTGCTCAACCTGAAGTTCGATCCACTGCTCGAGTATACAACCTAATGACAAGTGAAGACCGTGATGACCCTGATATTATAGCAGGTACTTTTCAGTTGTATGATAAATTAGTATTGGTACTGATTGATCCGGGTTCTAATTATTCTTATATTACAAGTAAGTTAGTAAAGGAGTTGGGGATTCCCTTAGAAGCTACGAGTAATGAGATTATAGTAACAACTCCGTTAGGCCATAGTGCCCGGGTGAATAAAGTCTGTAAGGGGTGTCCCATAAAGGTTCAGGGAATTGAATTCCCTGCTAATCTGATGGAATTACCCTTTGACGAGTTTGAAGTGATTCTGGGAATGGATTGGTTGTTCCGTTATTATGGAGATGTTAGTTGCAGATTGAAAAAGGTAACTCTGAAAAGTCCAGAAGGAACAGAGATAAGTGTGAGCAGTGAAAAGTTTAATCCTTTAGCAAATGTAATATCAGTAATGTCTGCCAATAAATTATTGCTACAAGGATGTCAGGGTTTTCTTGCAAATGTGATTGATTCAAGAGCTCAAGAGAAAAGGTTAGAGGAAATTCCAATAGTTCGAGAGTTCCCTGATGTTTTTCCTGCTGAATTGCCAGGATTACCTCCGGATAGAGAGGTAGAATTCCAAATTGAAATAATGCCGAGAACAGCTCCGATTGCAATGGTACCTTATCGAATGGCTCCGAAAGAATTGCAAGAGTTAAAGAATCAATTACAAGAATTGCTAGAGAAGGGATTTATCCAACCAAGTGTATCGCCTTGGGGAGCTCCGGTTTTATTTGTTAAAAAGAAGGATGGATCCATGCGCCTTTGCATTGACTATCGACAGCTCAATAAGGTGACCATCAAGAACAAGTATCCTCTTCCGCGCATTGATGATTTGTTTGATCAACTAAAAGGAGCTTCGGTATTTTTGAAGATCGATCTACGTTCGGGTTATCATCAATTGAAGATCCAGGAGAAAGATATTCCGAAGACGGCTTTCAGAACGAGATATGGTCATTATGAATTCATCGTAATGCCATTCGGAGTAACGAATGCACCTGCTGCTTTCATGGATCATATGAACAGGATTTTTCAGCCCTACTTGGACCAGTTTGTTGTTGTCTTTATTGATGACATACTGGTGTACTCGAAATCCCATGAAGAGCATAGCACACATCTGAGGATCGTCTTGCAAATTTTAAGAGATAAGAAGTTGTATGCCAAATTGTCCAAATGTGAGTTCTGGTTAAAGGAAGTAATTTTCTTGGGGTATGTGATCGCGGCAGTTGGGATTAGAGTAGACCCTCAAAAGGTTAAAGCTATAATGGATTGGAAAGTTCCTAAGAATGTGTCTGAAGTTCGGAGTTTTCTGGGACTTGC